GAGCTTGCTTAATAGACGAACAATATTTTTTTGTTATTAAACCAGGACCGTTTTAATCACAATATAATTACTTATCCCCTCTAAAAAATTGATGACGTCACCTCAAAATTTTGCTGAATAAATCCTACCTAAAATGTACAAAATCGTCAATTTGGGTGACTCAAAAAATTTAATGAATGCGCAAACTTATTTTATTAATTTAATCAGGAACTACAAAACCGAATGCTTTGAAATCTTGGAAATGTTTTAAATTTGTCATAAGCATGGTACATTTTTGATCAAAATATATTTGCTCATCCCTCCTAAAAAATGGATGACGCCACCCCAAAATTTTGCTGAATAAATCCTAACTGAATTGTATAAAATATGATGAGTCACTTCTTGTGATTTATCATTCCATTAATGTTTTTTGGATTTGCATATACAGGGTGACTCAAAAAAATTAATGAATGCGTAAATTTATTTTATTGGTTTAATCAGGAATTCTGAAATTCCTGTAACTTTTGAGATTGAACAGATTTTAGAGATTTTAGAGATCCTAGAAATGCTAGATATCCAGAAATTCTAGAAATAATCCATAGATTTAAAGGTTCTCGAAATCATAAATACTGCAGAAATTCAAAGGATACGAAAGATTCCAGAAATTCTTACCATTCTGAAAACGTTGATGAAGATCCTGAAAGTCTGAAGATTCTAAGATTTCCAAAATTTCTGTATGTTTTGGGATTTTATAGATTTTAGTGATTTTAGAAATCGTAGATATTCCGAAACCTTAAGGGTCCTCGAACACAAATTCAATAAATTCCAAGATTTCCAAATATTCCAGAGATCTCAGTATTTTGAAGAACTTGAAGAGATTGAAATTCTGAAGATTATTAATTTCATTAATAAGTATTTGGAAATTCAAGAAGCTCCAAAGATCAAAACAATCCGACACTTTCCCGATTATGAACATCTTGAAGATCTTGGAAGTTTCTAAAATTCTGAAAATTCTTCCAACGATTTAAAGATTTGTAACTCTTCAGTTTTCAAAGATTTGAGGGGTCTCAGAAATCCTAAGTATTCTAGATCTTTAAGGGATCTTGTAGACTCTAAAGCTTTCGCAGATCACAAATATTGCAGTAATTCAATAAATTCTATAAAGATACGAAATATTCCAGATATTTGGGGGTTGTCAGAGATGTCGAAACAATGGGGCGCTAAAGGTTTCGAGGGCTTTAGGGTTTTTTAGAATTTTAGGAACTTTCAGGTCTTTCAAAAAGGCTTCAAATTTGCATAGAAGTTTAGAAATTTCATAGACTTTAAGAGAGACTTTGAAAACGTCAACGAATTTAAAAATTTTAAAACTTTAGACAGGTTAGGGATCCTAGAGGCTTTCGACGCTTCAAGATTTTCTCAAATTTTTGAGACTTTTGGGATTTAGAGCCTTTAGGCAATTTAAAGACATATGCAAACTTTAGAAGTTTTAAAGACATTAAAGACTTTGGAACCTTCAGAGATTTCACAGGCTCCAGAGATTTCAGACACTCTAGAGACTTTGGAGACCCTAGAGAATCTAAAGAGTTCAGAGACTTTAGAGATTTTAACTGTCCTAGAGGCTATAGAAGCTTTAAGTTTTAATTTCAGGGACCTGAGGAACGTTTAATGTTTTAGGGTTTCTAAAAATTTTGATATTTTAAAGATTTTATAAACACTGGGACTTTTGGGGCTTCAAGGGCTTTGGAAATTTTAACGACTTTAAGGTCGTTTTTGAGGCTTTATATTCTATAAGAAGTTTTGGAAACTCTAAAGATTTTAGAGACTTTAGGAACTTTGGAGAATTAAGAAATTTTATAAATTTCAGAGAGTTTAGTTGATCTAGCGGATTTAAAGTTTTTTTAGAGAGCTCTAGTGTTTTAAGAACGTTAGGTATTATAGATGATTTAGTTTTAAAGGATCTTTTAAAATTTTTGTCACTTTCAACACTTTAGAACAGACTTTCTAGGTGATTTTAGGAAGGTTTTTTAAAAACTTTAGAAGCTCTAGACTTTAGGGGCCTTAGCAACTTCAGAAGCTTTAAAGTTTTTAGTAACTTTAGATATTGGAGAATTTAGAAGATATTTTAGGACCTACAACAACTGTAAGATCTTTCGACATGTTAAGTAGAAGTGGTTTTAAATACGCTTGAGATTTTGGAAGCGTTAGAGACTATAGAGACTTCAGAATAAATTAGACTATAGAAGAAGCTTTAGAAACTGTAGAAGAAGCTTTAGAGACTTTAGGGACTTCGGAAAATGTACAGCCTTTAGGGGATCAGAAGAGATTTTATTGACTTTACAGAAATTAGAAGTTTTAAAAATTTTACAGTCCTTGGTGTTCTAGAGGCTTTAGAGGGTTTAAAGTTTTTAGGCACTTTGGGAACTTCGGGTATGTTAGTTAAAGGCATTGGGTGGTTTAAAAACTTCAGAGGCTTTAGAAGTTTTAGGGACTTTTGAAACTTTAGAAGAGGCTTCAAATATTCTTGACATTTTAGAGACTTTGGAATTTTTGAGATTTGAAAAGAAGTTTTAGAAGAGGTTTAGAGACTTCAGAAACTTTACAGGTTTCAGAAGCTTTAAGAATTTTAGGAGCTTTTGAGGCTTTAGAAGAGGCTTTAAGTATTCTTTAGGTTTGGAAACAGAACCCAGTGCTTTGAAATCTTGCAAATGTTTTAAGGTTATAAAGAGCATAATAAATTTGTAGTCAAAATATATTTGCTTATCCCCTCCAAAAAGTTGATGACGACAGCTCAAAAGTTCGTCGTATAATCCTATTTAATATGTACAAAATATGATGAGTCTCTTCTTGTAATTTAAGATTCCATTCATATTTTGGATTCGGATATACAGGGTGACTTAAAAAATTTAATGAATGCGCAATTTATTTTATTGATTTAATCAGGAACTACAAAACCGAATGCTTTGAAATCTAATGTGAAAAAAAAACATAATAGGCATGCAGTCGTCACGTTTCCGATAGCGAGGGAAGTACTGTCTAAACTCTTTAGACCAATTTTTTTGGTTTTCCCTTTTTTCCATTTCTCAATTTTTCAATGTTTCAGTTTGGGATTTTTTCACTGTTTCGATTCTTTAATTTTTTGTTTTCTTTGATATTTTGAGTTCTCGATCATTCGATTTTCTGAGTTTTCAGGCTTAGATTTTTTTTGTTGTTCAATCTTTGGATTTTTACAATTTTTGTTTTTTAAATTTTCTTATTTATCAACTTACTGGGATTTCAATGTTTTGATTTTTTGATTGTTCAATTTCCCGATTTTTTGAATTTTTAGTTTTTGATACGATTTTTTTTTTCAAAAATTTTCAGTTTTTCAATTTATTAGCTTTACGATACTTCAGTTTTGCTCGATTTCGATTTCTCAATTTTTCGACGTATTATTATTGGGATTTTTCAATTTATCGATTCTTCGATTTCTCGATTTTTCATATTTTCGGTTTCTCGAATTTCTTCATTTTTTGATTTCTCAATTTTCCAATATTTCAGTTTTACGATTTTTAAATTTTTTTATTTTTCAGTTTTCAATTTTTGACGGTTCTAAATTTTTCCATTTTTCAATTTTTCGATTAACTGAATTTTTGATTTTCCCATTTCTCTATTTCTCGATTTTTCAATTCTTTCTTCAATTGTGATTTTTCAATTTTTCGATTTCTGAATTTTTCAGTGTTTCAGTTTTGGATTTTTTCACTTTTCCGATTCTTCAATTTTCTTTCCATTTTTCAGTTTTTCAAGATTTCAGTTTTGAATTTTTTCATTTTTTCGATTTTTCAATTTTCCTTCCATTTTTCAGTTTTTCATTGTTTCGATTTCTCGGCTTTTCAATTTTTCGATAGGTATTTTAATTTTTCAATTTTTTCTAGATTTTCCGTTAATTTTTTTGTTTTCCTTGATGTTTTGATTTGTCAATTATTCGATTTTTCAAGTTCTCGGTTTAGATTTTTTGGTTTTCCAATTCTTCGATTTTTAAATTGTTTAATTTTTAGATTGTTCAATTTCTCGATTTTTAGATTTTTCAATTTTTCGGTTTACCGATTTTTTTTTAAATGTTTCAATTTTTCGATTATTAACTTTTCGATTTTTCAATTTTCGTCTAATTTGATTTCTTAATTTTTTTATTTTTTGACTCCACTACTATTGATATTTTGATTTCTCGATGTTTCAGGTTTTGAACATTCTTTTTTGGCTTTTCCAGTGTTCAATTTTTTGATTTTTGAATTTTAGATTTTTGTTTTTTTAATTTTTTTGGTGTTTCGATTTCCCAATTCTTCAATTTTTCGATATTTTAATTTTTCAATTTTTCGAATTTTTAAATTTTTGATTTTTCTTTTCTTTTATTTCTCAATTTTTGGATTTTTTAATTTTCGATTTTACTATTTATTGATGCTTGGATTTCTCAATTTTTCAAGTTTTCAATACTCAATTTTTCAGGATTTGAATATTGAGAACTTTTCAATTTCTGGATTTTCAATTTTCAGATATTTTAATTTTTTGATTTTTTAATGTTTCGATTTTTAAAGTTTTTGATTTTTCGATTTTTCCTATTTGTTGTCTATTTTAAGTATATTTCATTTTTCAATTTGCGCCTTCTGCGGGAGTATTATTTGTTGTGCTGCACTTGACGGGCGAGGGAAGTTCTGTCGAAATAACCTTCGACCAATTTTTATATTTAACACGTAGGGTTCTTACTAAGCATTCCTTATTTAACCCAACAGTTATTAATTTAACTAAGCAGCTACTATTTCACCAAGCATATATTATTTTTACTGAGAATTTATTTTTTAACTGAGTATTTATTATAGGTATAACTTAGCATTTATCATTTTTACCGAGCAAAAATACAGAGCGTTTAAAAACAGAACTGCGCATTTAATTTGTTCCCTTATCTAAATAACAAGAAAACGGTATTAATAATACATTAATAGGCGAATAAACTAATAGACGGGCTTAATAATCTCCTGTTTTTGTTTCAGACATGGATTTTAGAGCGCTGTCCGACTGCGGCGACTGAAAAATTGCCGCACTCCGCAAAAATCTGGATTCCAAATTATTCAGGTATTGTTGAAAGTTTTTCCAAAACATCAACACAGACGCCAATCTCGCACGCTAAATATTTATGAGTTGAATTATTTTTCGATGCGAGTAGTTGAAATGCGGCTAAATTAGCGGCAGACGGCATCGATCAGGGGCAAAAAGTCGGCGAATCGAACGTGATTTTGGGGCTGTTATTAATGAGTTTGTCTTGGAGACGTGACATCCATCGCGCGGTTAATAATGCAATGTTTGCTTTGGCGCGAGTTGGGAAAGCGGGGGTGTGTTTGGGGTTAAAGTCCGTCCAGACTCGTTTGTCATCGAGTTTGAAATCTTAAAGGAATTTGCTTTTAAGGGGACTCGCTAGACGAGGTATAACATTTTTTTTGTTTTTTGTATGAAAAAATGATGTTAATATGGATGTATCATACATGAAACTGCAGCTTTTTTCATATTCTAGAGCGCAGAGACCAGTTCAATCAATTAAAAAAATATGGCTGAGAAGTATCGTAAAAAAAGCACCATTGTATGTTTTCTTTTCAAGTTTTTTGAGTCATAACCATCATAGAATCGCTTGAAAATTCGCACATGAATAAAACATCACTTTTTACAGGGCGCAGAGTCATTAAATGTTTGTTAGTGCTAGAATTTGTTTAAATAATAATGTGTTTATTAAAATCAGAATATACTACAAATTAATGCAAAATACGTCGAATAATTTTAACAGGAATGTCAGAGGAAAATTAATGATCTATTGGTTAGCAGAGTTTTTAACAAAAACTAAAAATTATTGAAAAAAATGGGTATCAATTCGACAGAATTTGAGCAGTTAGTTCAGTACTTTGCCGATAGGAGCGCCACTAAAATTTACGATTTTCCAGGTAAAACCCTTATCGCCTGCTCTACCATAAGCTGATTGTTAGAGTTCTCGACTGACTTTTCTAATTTATGGCAAGGAACTCAGTTTTATAACAAGGCGCCAGGACCGGCCGTAGTAATCTATTGTTAAAGAAATTAACTTTTACGCAATGAGGTACTATCATAAAACCGAATTAAAACTGGGGAACTATAATATTTTTACTCCACTCAGGATCCTGAATTCAATACACATGATTACTAAAAATTCATTGTAATATTATTGTTAACATATATTTTACTTTGTTAATTAATAAAACTAATAAACATATTTATAATAATAATAAAAAATATATTAAATACAGCTTTTGTTTAACACGTATAAGTAGCTAAGTGTATCTACTACTTATCCCAGAAAGGAGGTGTTTGAAAAAAGCCCTACGCCCAGTAACTTCTCCCTTCATTGTTTACTCGAAAAAAGTGCTCGTATATGTTTTCATTTGCCGAGAGATCATTTTCAAAATATATTTATAATAAAAATATGCAAGTCTTGGTGATGAACAATCTACTCCTAATAAATTATTAAAGTACATAAAAAAATAGAAACAAATTTTATTTATTTAAAAAAAATTTCTCGCAAAGGCAGGTTCCTCTTTCTTCTGGAATCAATTATTTCGGGCAATAATGCGCCAAAGTAAAATGTGCCAATAATTTTCTCAAAAAAACCTCTTTGGCTTTCACAAATGCTTCTACATCCATGACAGGATTTTCTAAAAAATATTCAAACCATAATCGCAGTCGGGACCAGCATACGTACATTTTTTGACGATATATTTTTCTTACGAATACTTTGTCTAAGACGAGCTTGTTTCATAGACGAACAATATTTTTTTGTTATTAAACCAGGACCGTTTTAATCACAATACATTTACTTATCCCCTCTAAAAAAATGATGACGTCACCTCAAAATTTTGCTGAATAAATCCTATCTAAAATGTACAAAATATGATGAGTCTCTTCTTGTAATTTATCATCCCATTCATATTTTTTGGATTCGGATATATAGGGTGACTCAAAAAATTTAATGAATGCGCAAACTTATTTTATTAATTTAATCAGGAACTACAAAACCGAATGCTTTGAAATCTTGGAAATGTTTTAAATTTATCATAAGCATATTTGCTCATCCCTCCTAAAAAATGGATGACGCCACCCTAAAATTTTGCAGAATAAATTCTGTCTAAATTGTATAAAATATGATGAGTCTCTTCTTGTGATTTATCATTCCATTCATGTTTTTTGGATTTGCATATACAGGATAACCCCAAAAATTAATGAATGCGTAAATTTATTTTATTGATTTAATCGGAAACTACAGAACCCAATGCTTTGAAATCTTGCAAATCTTTTAAGGTTATAAAGAGCATAATAAATTTTTAGTCAAAATATATTTGCTTATACCCTCCAAAAAATTGATGACGTCAGCTCAAAAGTTTGCCGTATAATCCTATCTAAAATGTACAAAATATGATGAGTCTCTTCTTGTCATTTATCATTCCATTCATATTTTTTGGATTCGGATATACAGGGTGACTCAAAAAATTTAATAAATGCGCAAATTTATTTTATTGATTTAATCAGGAACTACAAAACCGAATTCTTTGAAATCTAATGTGAAAAAAAACATAATAGGCATGCATTTGATAAGATAAGACTGTTTTTGGCAGATGTCATACCTTCCAAGAAAACAGAGGGTGGGTGGGTGGGGCTAGTATTTGATAAGATAAGACTCATTTTGGCACTTTTGACATTTTCCACCATTTTTCAACAATGTCCGAAAATTTGCCACCCTCCCTTTTCTTAAAAGGTATGTCATTTGCCAAAATCGACCCAATTTTAGCAGGTACTAGCCCCGCCCACCCACCCTCTTTTTTTTTAGAAGGTATGTCATTTGCCAAATTCAGTTTTGTCCTAGCAGATACTAGCCCCGCCCACCCACCCTCTCTTTTCTTAGAGGATATGTCATCTGCCAAAATTAGTTTTATCTTATCACCCACTAGCTAGTATAAGAATCATTTTGGCAAATGACATACCTTGTTTTCTTGGAAGGTATGTCATCTGCCAAAAACAGTCTAATTTTATCAAATACTAGCCCCGCCCACCCACCCTCTTTTTTCTTAGAAGGTATATCATTTGCCAAAATTATTCTTATACTAGCTAGTGGGCGATAAGATAGCGAGGGAAGTACTGTCTAAACTCTTTAGACCATTTTTTTTGATTTTCCCATTTCTCCATTTCTCAATTTTTCAATGTTTCAGTTTGGGATTTTTTCACTGTTTCGATTCTTTAATTTTCCTTACATTTTTAGGTTTTTCAGCTTTGGAATTTTGCAATATTTCGTTTCTTCAATTTTTCAAATTTTTGATATTGTGTTTTCTTGGTTTTTAAATTTTTTGATAGTTTAATTTTTCAGTTCCATGATTTTTCAATTTGTCGAATTTTTAAATTTTAGATTTTTTGTTTTCTTTGATTTTTTGAGTTCTCGATCATTCGATTTTCTGAGTTTTCAGGCTTAGATTTTTTTGATTGTTGAATTCTTGGATTTTTAAAATTTTTGTTTTTTAAATTTTCCCATTTATCAACGTACTGGGATTTCAATGTTTTGATTTTTTGATTGTTCAATTTCTCGATTTTTTGAGTTTTTAGTTTTTGATACGATTTTTTTTTCAAAAATTTTCAGTTTTTCAATTTATTAACTTTACGATACTTCAGTTTTGCTCGATTTCGATTTCTAAATATTTCGACATATTACTTTGGGATTTTTCAATTTATCGATTCTTCGATTTCTCGATTCTTCAGATTTTGGGTTTTTCGAATTTCTTCATTTTTCGATTTCTCAATTTTCCGATGTTTCAGTTTTACGATTTTTAAATTTTTTTATTTTTCAGTTTTCAATTTTTGACGTTCCTAAATTTTTCGATTAACTGATTTTTTGATTTACAAATTCTCGTTACGTGGAGAAATGTGGACGTTATGGCTAAAACTGGGGTTTTAAGTATTCTAGTTTGATGAATCATCGTTAATATCGCGAAAAACCAACAATGAGTGTTTTCAGGGGGGGAGTAGTGAAAATTTGAAAACTCACAATCTCGTAATTGTCAATAAATTTCAAAACAACTTCGGAAATAATTAAATTTCTGAAATACACTGTTTCACAAAGGAAAGTAACATTGAAACGATTTGGAAGATCAAAGTTTTTGAAAATTAAATTAATTCCTACGATTTGATAAATAACAATAAATTCAAACATTGTGAAAAAACAATAAAAAAAAATCACAACAATTTCGAAATTCATAAAACTGGGAAATAAATAAAATTTTGAAAATTTAGTTAATTCATAGGATTTGATAAATGAAAATAAATTCAAATATTGTCAAAAAACAAAAAGCTTCATATTTTAAAAGTTACAAATAATTATTAAAGAAATTTTGAACTTCGAAAAATTTGCACTTTCTGAAAATTTGAAAACTCACAACCTCGGAATTGTCCACAAATTTCAAAACAACTTCGAAATTCATGAAATTCGGAAATAATTAAATTTCTGAAATACATTGTTTCACAAAGGAAAGTAACATTGAAACGGTTTGGAATATCAAAGATTTTGAAAATTAAATGAATTCCTAAGACTTGATAAATGAAAATGAATTCAAACATTGTGAAAAAACATTTAAAAAAAGTTAAAACAGTTTCAGAAATTTTGAACTCCAAAAATTTTGTACTCTTTGAAAATTTGAAAACTAAAAATCTCGGAATAGCCAAAAAATTTCACAACAATTTCGAAATTCATAAAACTGGGCAAAAAATTAATTTCTGAAATACATCGTTTCATCAAGGAAAGTAACATTGAAACGATTTGGAATATCAAAGATTTTGAAAATTAAATTAATTCCTAGGACTTGATAAATGAAAATAAATTCAAATATTGTCAAAAAAACAAATTAAAAAAAAAACAAAAAAGCTTCATATTTCAAAAGTTACAAATAATTATTAAACAACTTCGAAAAATTTGCACTTTCTGAAAATCTGAAAACTCACAATCTTGGAATTGTCCAAAAATTTCAAAACAACTTCGACATTCATCAAATTCGAAAATAATTAAAGGAAAGTAA